CCCTCGGACGGGAGCGCCGCCGCGCTTCCCAAGCGGCGCACTATCCAGTGCGCCACCGTGCAGGCCCAAATTTGATTTTTAAAAGACAAAACCTGGGCCGGCCTGGTGGCGCACTGCTACAGTGCGCTGGGAGCGCGGTGGCGCTCCGCCGAGGGTTGGGATCCCACATACAGACCGGTTCCTGCTCACTGGCTGAGCGATGTGTGGGCGCAGCACCAAGGGTTGCGATCCCGTTGCCAGTTCCGGTCCGGTACTGGCGTGACACTGAGGGTTGCGATCTGTTGCCGGACACGAAAAAAGACAAAAAAGAAAAAAAAAAGACAAAACCTACAAGCCCATATTTTGTCTTAAACAGACAAGAAAGTTTTCTAGTTCAATGCTTACATTTATGAATGCTTATTAAAGTTTCTAAGCGCTTACTCTAAATTTCTGTACTTAACCCTTCTTCCCCATGGATAAAAACAGCTCGCACGGTGGCTGTGGTCCGCGGACCACTCTGCTCCACTTGGCTCACTGCAGCAAAGCCCTGCTGCAGCCCGCCCTTGCAAACTTCACGTGGGAAAGCCGGGAGGCACCTGACCACGGCCAGGGTCACTGGGTCTGGAATACAGGCTTGCGCTGCAGCCGCAGGACCCGGTACGTGTTGAGGCCAGGCACGTCGAAGCCGGGGGACAGCCCGTGGCTGTCCAACGGGTAGAAGTTGACGAGCTGCCCGTGCTGGGCCTCGAGCGANCGTAGAAGCCAGCTGCCATGCGGGCGCGCACGAGGGGCGTGAGGTCGAAGCCAGTGTCCGCCATCCCCAGAGGATCCAGCACGTTCTCCGAGATCCAGCGTTGGTAGTCACCATGGGCGGTGTGGGCTGCCAGGACATGGGCCAGGAGCGAGAAGGCCAGCGTGCTGTAATGGCACCTGGAAGTAAAGCGGAGGAACCTGGAATGTGGCCTCGGAAAACACCTCCAAGCCCTAAATTATAGCCCCCCTTTCCCACCTGTGCAAGCTGTCTGAAATGCCACCAGGGTTTCATTAGACTGGGTGGGGAAGGAACCTGCTTCACTGTTTCCCAGATGGTCAGACCCAGAAGTGACTTCTGCTATCAGGGAACATAACTCTGTCTTCTATATCTGGGTAGACTACGGCCAGAGAGGGGCAGATTGTCCAGGGTCATACAGCAGGTTGAAGGAGAGCTGGGCTCAGCAAGGCTCCTGGAACGGTGCTAAAGCAAATCTTGTTGGTCCTTTACACTTTAGTATGATTTACTTAACCAAATGGAAAATTAGTCTTAGACTGTTCTGGCTGAGGGGTGGAGATGATAGTGATCCTGTAACTCAAGGATAACAAATAGGAAGCAAGAACTCAAATAGGAACCATGGCAGACACCAATAATCAATGAGGCCTCTTTTCTTTCCCAGAGTAGATGCAGTTTCAGAATCTCTAAAATAGTGCCTTGGGGGCCGAGCCCGTGGCGCACTCGGGAGAGTGCGGCGCTGGGAGCGCAGCAGCGCTCCGGCCGCAGGTTCGGATCCCATATAGGGATGACGGGTGCACTCACAGCGCTCACTGGCTGAGCACGGTGTGGCCAGGTCTCAAAAAGGACAAAAAATAAAATAAAATAGTGCCTTGGGAAGGCACAAAGACGGATG